AACCAAGTGGGCTGTAGTGATGTCAGAAGTGCTATATGAGGACTTTTAATCTCATTATGACTTGGACGTTCAGAATCGATTTTTTCTCAATCAGAATAGTAGAAAGCATTACAAGAGATATATACCCCTTTTGAAATCGCCACGCAAAGACGGACGTTCAGAAAGCTTATCGAGAAAGTCAATCGATCTTTTTAGTGGGGAGGAATAGTGCGGGAAAAGAGTGAGACCAAGCCGAGGAGAGTAAGCCCTTCCCACATGTAAAGTTGAATAAATGAATGCAGCCTCAACCTGCGCCTTTCATTTTAGGCCGCCGATGGTGCAGAACGCACTAATCCGTGACCAACAAGTTTTCCGAAACCAAACTGAAGAGAATTGTTACTTTACAAAAATGCTTGCTGAAAATCAACGAAAGAAGGAAGGTCCATTTTCCCACGTAGTTCGTCGGTCAAACCAACGAGATTATCCTCTCAAAGTAATAGAGAGATCTTTTTCTAGTTAGACTTCTATCAATGCAATGAAAGAATCATCCCTTCCTATTTTTTTGTCCTGTCAGATAGAAAGAAAATGAGACCCCAAAGAGCCCTTCTTTACCAGTTTAGTGGGTAGGGGTGAAGGGGGGTTTACATACAACCGAGGCAAAGTGGTTTATGAATGAATCTTAGAGGCATTCTTATCATTTGGTATATCCAAGTCCATGGCCTATTTCGGGTTCACTCGRAGCTTTGGCAACCACCGTAGGAGGTGTGATGTACATGCACTCATTTCAAGGGGGTGCAACACTTCTAAGTTTGGGCCTCATATTTATCCTATATACCATGTTTGTATGGTAGCGCGATGTTCTACGTGGGTAAAACGGACTTTTGACCCAGTTGTAATTTTCGAACAACTTGTGAAGTGTGCAACTTCGGATTTATAGTGAAGTAACCTTGGGTTAGTGAATGAAAATTAATTAATTAATGAGTTTCATTAATTAATTTTGTACTATTGGAGCTTATAAACTATAGGTTCATAAGGTAGCAAATTCTGGTATGATATTGTTCGTTTTGGGCATAGCTCTCACGGCTTTGCTTTTGGTTCCATCCAAAAGGCTTCATACCAATTGAGATAATTGTCCTATCTTATATACCCATGATCATTCATTTCTCTAGCCAATGTGGGACTTTGTTTGCAACCATCTTACAAACCCAACAATCTTCCCCTCGAACAAAGTACCACCGAGCCTCTCCACAAGTAATCACTTATCGGTCTACTCTCGGAGACCAGAACAAGAGCTTGCTCTTCTCCAAAGCTCCAGGCATACCTTGATAGAGCACACCCACGGATTACACCATGACCACACCTTCCGAGGCTCACCACTTCTTTGTTCGACACTCGAGAATTCATCGATACAGCTAGGTTTAGACCATGGCTCTGATATCACTTGTTAAGGACAATGGTACCTCTCGTACCCCACGTATCTCCACAATGGTATGATATTGTCTGCTTGGGCATAGCCCTCACAATGGGATCTGGCCAAGATCGATGAGCCAAAAGTGTCACGATCTTGAGGGGCATGTTATGGATCTCAAATTTAAAAGAAATGTGACCTTAAAATAGTTTATAATAGACATGAGCTACTCCTCTCATAGCCAATTCGTTTTGAGATTGAACCCATGAATATTGATATGGTATCAGAGCCCAAAATGCTCAAACGAGCAACTAGTCTAAAAATGGGATTCGGCCAAGATCGATGAGTCAAAAGAGCCACGATCTTGAGACGGCATGTTAAGGATCTCACATTGAAAAGAGAGAGGATCTAACAATAGGTTTATAATAGACATGAGCTACTCCTCTAATTGCCAATTGGTTTTAAGATGGAACCTCATGAATATTGATATATAGTAACAAGATTAGCATGTGCAATTTGGACGATACGAAATTAATTCCACCCACAAAGAGTTAATCTTAGTAAAATACATACCTACAAATTCCTGATTCTGAGTGCAATTTGTATGTGGCTAAAGAGGTATTTCAGCGACAATAAATATTAGGCATGTCGCTGAAACAAAGTTTTAGAGACGTTTTCCTTAAACTGTCGCTAAAAAAACGCTGCAAAAACCCCAATTTCTTGTAGTGGCTCGTTTAATCTGAAAATTTTGTAGAACATTTTTGCTTTGAAATGATCTTGAAGGTCCAACCAAATTTCATGAGCAGAGTTCGAAAAAATAATACTAGCAGTTTGCTTTCGAAACATAATTTAATATCCAAGAAATAACAACGTTATTATTTCTGATCCAAGCAAGAAGAGTGAACCAGTAGGTCATGGAAGAGAACCATCAATCAAACTGAGTTTGTTCTTTACGGATAATCCAATGATCACAAGACGACTCCAAAACATGTAATTGCCTTCTGTAAGGAGCTAAGTAACTAAAGCCAAGCTCGTATTATTGTGATGCAAGAAATATGGATTGGTGTAAGCCTATGTAAGAACCGAAGTAGCCGAAGAAGAAGATGCAGCTGGAATTGGAGTAATCAGAATTGGCATTGAATCATATGGAATGATCCGCTGTTGAACAAAATGAATAATATCTTTCAAAGTCATGATTATGATGGACAGAGTGCGCAAAACAAGCACCCAAGAAATTTTCTAAAAAGCTCTGATACATATTAGAATAAAAAAGATAAAATGTGGTAACGAACCAAAGAAAAATGGCTCAATATGGAATATTAATCAACTGATTTGAATATTAACCAACTAATTACAAATCTAACTAATGTCAATAATAATCAAAACAAAATCTGAAAAAGTATTTACAACTTTTTAAATCTTAAAATATAAAAATATATAAGATTTTATATAAAATCAAAACAAAATAAAAATAAAAATGTAATAGATAAGATTCTATTTGTATATACAATTAATTGCATTTCACATTATAAATAAAATTGCTCAGATTTTTTATTTTTTATTTTTTTATTTTTTGCAAAGGAATTGCTCAGATTTTAATTGTGCAACTTTGTATCTGTCAATAGTCAATAAGTAGTAATTTATCATATTATTTTGCTAAAAAAAACAATTATCATATTTATATATTGTTATGTATAAAAATAATACTATTATCTTCCACGGTGAAAGGGGTCAATATTGAATATATTATATGACATGTTAAATGTTACAACTATAAATTATGAAAAATGAGTTACAACTATGCATGTTGTTAAAAAAAAAAAAATGAATATATGCATAGTTAATATTAATCAAATAAGAAATATTAAGTTATTTGTTCCGATAATATTTACCGTATATGAAAAACTATTTACATGTAAGTATTTTTATTAACACAGTCAACATTTGGTTTTACTCAAAAAACCCATCATATCTTGGTTTTACTCAAAAACCTTATATCGATATTGTCCGCTTTATACATAAGTCTCACGATTTTACTTTTTGTTTCACTTAAAATGTCTTATACCAATAGAAATCATAGATCACTACCTTTACTAACCAATGTGAGACTTTGTTTGCATTTTCCTTACAAATTCAAGAGTACGCAGTTCGATCACTCTCGAGGGATTGCTAGCTTCTTCCAAAACTCTACACAAATAGAGATTGCACATACCTAAAAAGAGAATAACATCGATAAGAATTTGAAAATACATCTTCATTGTAAAGAGTAGTGAAGTTCACGACATGTATATACTTACCTTTACCAGTCCATCTATGTTTAGATGTAATAGCTTCTTCTCTTATTTTAGGAAATAAAGAAGAAAACAACTTAACATAAAACAAGTTCCGAAAAAACTAGATTGTCCAGCCACGAGGGAGTTCGACAACTCCATTCTTCCCTCAAATCGTTTTCTATTGCTCGCCTGGCTAAACCATGAGCCAACTTATTTGCCTCTCGACCGATATGTCTTATTGAAACTATTTCCATACCTTCCATCATCTGTCAAATTTCTTTTAAGAGTCAAATAATTTCAGTTTGATCTTGACACTGTCTATGAAGTAGATGAAACGCTTTGAGGGAGTCGGATTCCAAGTGAATTGATCGACGGTGTTTTTGTCGAATCGCATACAATCCCTCACAAATAGCCATCACCTCTAGGTAAGTAATATTTCTTTCCTCTCTTTTAATTTTACAGCATGCTCTAATGACTTCTCCCTTCTCGTCTCTTAAAATCCAGTCAATCCCCCTGGTGTTTGTATCTGCTCACCATGCTGCATCTGTATTTAATTTCCATGAATTTGACGTGGGAGATTTCCATCAGGCTCCTATATTGTCTCCAATTCGCCTTGTCAGGTCCATGTTTGTTGACTTTCCTTCTGGATTTGTGTTTCGATTTGCACTGTTGATTATGTATATGTCAATCGCCAATTGAATGTCTCTAGTTTCTGAATGAACACCTTTGAAAATTGATTTGTTACTCATTTCCCAAATCTGCCAAGCTATGATCATGCTTCTTTTACATTCTTCTTCACCAGCCTTATCTATTAACCACTCCCAATACTCTTTTGTGGTCCAGTTTGTCTTGTCAATGTAGAAAAAATTTGCTTCAACAGTAGTGCAATTTACCCATATATCTTTAATTACCTTACATCATTTCCATAGGATATGTTGAGTAGTCTCTTCTTTTTTCCTGAATTCCAACTCGTTGAAATTGCAGTTTGCTCTAGGTTCCTCCAACATTACCATAGACTTGTCAAAAAACCACGATCCATTGTTGATGATCTTGCTAAGAAAATTTTGGCTTGGGGATGATAGATCTAGTGTACATTAGATGAAAATGGAGTGAAGTGGTTGTGTTTTTGTCATTAAAAAAATACTCATCCTCAGCTTTTAGAAATCAATTATGCTAAGTTGTTGTTTTAGATTTTTTTTTTCTTTTTGACAAATTTAGATACTCTATATTTAGATTTATATTCTTAATCACCAATAGAATAGTAGTTTTATTTAGATTTATATTCTTAATCACCAATAGTGGTTTGTGTAAAAATGAAGAGTATATAATGAAAAGATAATATGAAATATGTCATGGATGGATGAGTCAATATTTCCATAGTGCGCAAAAAAAAAAATCAACAAAATATAAATAAAAAAATCAACATAATATCACTAATATATATACAATACGTTAATGTCAATGTTAATATTTTTTTTAACTTATTTTAAAAAGTGCAAATGATTGAAATATTTCTTAAAAATTATTTATTTTTATAACTTTTAAAAGTATGAATCGACATCCATATTTTATCAACATTTTTATAAAATTGAGACATCTATTTAAGAAGTGAAAAAACAAAATTAAGGTTATAAAGAAAAGGCATAATTCATACACTACCCAATTCAGCGTACAAAAGTCCAACAAAGATAAGGTTCTTCTGTTCAATTCTCACATACATTGGGAATTATCCGCAGCCACATATTTGGTGTCTCTGCCAGTGGAGAAAAAAAGCCTCTGGCAATTTGCATTAATGGATGCCATTCACTCATTGCTCCAAAATATCATCTCAACAAAGAACTCAGCCTAACTATGAGCCACAAACTTCACATGGAGAAAAGACTCATATTTATCCATAAATACACCAAACAAAATAACAATTGCTACACACATTGATGCATGAAATGATGGGGCTTAGAGTTTCATGTGCCTTGGCTCTTGCAGTCTTGTTAACCATCCTAGGTTTGGCTTGTGTCTCGTCGGCTAAATCGGGTTGCCCTCCGAAGGTTCGGCCATCGCCTGCTGGTGTCCCTGTGGTGCAGGCCAAGTGCCCAAAAGATACTCTGAAGTTTGGAGTGTGCGGGAGTTGGTTGGGGCTGATAAACGAGCAGATCGGGGCCAAACCAAGCAAGAAATGTTGTAGTTTGTTGACGGGGTTGGCCGATCTCGAGGCTGCATTGTGTTTGTGCACTGCATTGAAGGCGAATGTGTTGGGTGTTGTCAACCTTGATGTGCCTATTGCTCTTAGTTTGCTTGTAAATTCATGTGGGAAAAGTATCCCACAAGGATTTGTTTGTCCCTAGAGAAGTTCTTTTGTTTGCTATTCAAGTTGTGTTTGATGCTTGTGTTCTTTGATTGAATCAAAGTGAATGGAATTTCAAGGATTTTTTATTTTTTTTTTATTTTTTTTAAGATTTTAACACAACGAAGGTTATATGTATTAACCAACTGAACTATGACAATTTTAAAAACTCTTAGGGAGTGTTTGGATGGGGACAAGGAGTTATTAGGTTGGAAGTTCTTTAACATGAAGTTGTTTATTATGAGAGTTAATTAGTCTGGAGTTGTTTAATTTGTGTTTAGGTTGCAAATGTATCAATTGAAACGTTTAATTTGTAAAATTTTGTATTAAATGATGCAATAACGTATATAGCAGGAAGTTTTATTTATTTTATTTTATTTTTGAGAAAAGGAATGTATTAAAACTCTACATTGTTTTGGAAGTSAGTTTTAACACACTGACAGAGAAAAGGGGGAAATAAAGCAAACCACACTCGAGCTCGCCCCAAACCGAAACTTTCCTTTGCAAGTCTATGAGTCACCGAATTCGACTCTCTATAAATATAGTCGAATGAGATTTCCATGAAATTTTCTGCCAAAGCTCGAATATTCRAAACCAATTCATTTGATTCGAGGTAACAGACTTCTCAAGTTTCTCAGCCTCTCACGCTCCTTCGGCTTTAACTCTTGAAAGTAATTTAGGATCCAAAAAACTTTTGCTAAAATATCAGAGACTCCTTGTTTGTATATCATAGCATTTTGTATCATTTCAAATCGCTCAACAAGTAATACTTACTAAAATTGTTTCAGCTTTGGAGAAAGAATGCTGCCACTCTGCCCACCAATCAATAAAGCAATTATTGAAGCAATCTCCACTGACCCTGTTTGGGAACAAACAATTCCGAATCTGTTGTGCCCTTTACACCTCACAAGGGCATGATCTACCGTCTCCACCTTCTTCAAACAAATCGGGCATAAACGTAACACTTCAACACCTTTTCCAAAGAAACAATTTGATTTTTGAAGGCACTTGGATTTTCCATAAATTTTTCCACGAATCCATACTGTTATTGTTGCTTATGGATTGGGCTAGCAACCTCTGATTCGTAGCTAATTTGTAGTTACTTGTGACTGTGTAAAGACCATTTTTAGAATAGTGCAAAGCCCACATATATGCCATATTAATCAAACTAATAGAACTTTCCAGGATTGCTTCCACGTCTGCCTCACACACAACTTGTCTTAATTTGGGCACATCCCACTGATAATATGGAGTTATGAACTCCATCACTTTGGGCATCCACACCGGATCCAAATTCCTAGAAATAAGCTTAAACGTTGATTTCCTCGGAATCTAGGGATCTTCATAGTAGTCAATAGTTGTTTCTGTGCCCACGGCCTTTCTTAGACCACTTGTAAGCAACTCCCTACTCCAAACCATTCCTTGTCAAAAATACGACCAATTAGCTCCACCTTCCGCTGCCAACAAAGAGCTTTCTTGAGCATAAACACCCCGGATTACCTTGGCCACCAAAAGATTTGAAAATTGAATGTACCTCCAAAGTTGCTTAGCAAGGAGTGCCTTATTAAAGAGTTTAAGATCACGAAAGTTCAGGCCACCGAACTCCTTTGGCCAGCACATTTTATCTCAGCTCACCCAATGAATCCATTTCTTAACTTTAGTAGTACCCCACCAAAATCTTGGTATAGTCTTAGAAAGCTCCGAACAAAAAGAAGAGGGCAATTTAAAACAACTCATAACATAAGTAGGTATCGTTTGGGCTACACTTTTTATGAGTACCTCTTTTCCGCCTATTGAAAACAAATTAGATTTCYAGCCCTGCACCAGCTTCCATAATCTATCTTTGACCTTTGCAAAATCCTTGCTCTTGCTTCTCGTGAGGCTCGATGGGATGTCCATGTAGTCTCCCAAAGAAGGWACCAACGACATCCCCATGAATGATTGCCCATATTTCTGAAAATCCAGCTTCACATTTGGAGAGAACCAAATGGCAGATTTATTAAAATTAACGTTTTGGCCTGAAGCTTTTTCATGGTCAAGCAAAATCCTTTTAATGACATATAACTAGGAATCGTTGCCTTACAGAAAGTGAGGCTATCATCTACAAAGAACAAATGAGAGATAGCAGGACAAGACGAGGATAGAGAAATACCTGAATGTGATTCAACTCATGAGCCCTTTGAAAGGCTGCAAAAAGGGCTTYCGCGCAAATAATAAAAGGGTAAGGAGATAGGAGATCCTTTTGTCTTTCCCTGGGATAAACGTAGATTGAGTCTCCGAGATAACATTTTTTAGGACATTTTTCAACCTGTTTGCAATGACCTTCGAATTAATTTTATAGGAAACATTGCAAAGACTGATTGGCCTATAAGCTATCAACCTCCTAGGATGTTTAGTCTTTGGAATAAGAGCAATAAGAGTAGAGTTCTAGTCCTTTATCGAGCAATGACCATTTAAGATATCAAGGCAATTTGCTACTGTCTTACTCCCCASTGTCGTCCAGTAACGCTGATAGAAAAGAGCGGSAAATCCATCTGGACCAGGAGCCTTTGTGGGGTGCATCTGCTTCAAAGCTCTCTCAATTTCACTACTCTCAAAAGACGCCAACAACTTCCCATTCATCTCCTCAATCACTATGCAAGGAAAATTCTGTTCAAAGATTCTTCTGTAGGATATGAAGAAGTGAAAATATTATGAAAATAAGAGATAAACCTTTTTTCCACCAAAGACGTATCTTCTTACCATTGGTTATCATCAAGCTCCACTCATCGAATGAAATTCTTCTGCCTTCTCAGAGAAGCCCACTTATGAAACCATTTGGTGTTCCTATCCCCCCCACTTTAATCAGTTTTCTCTTGACCTTTGCTTCCAATAGATTTCTTCTGTTTCAAGTAACACATCCAGCTCCCACTCCCATTCATGAATAAGCTTGAAATACCAGGGAGGGGGCTTTGAGTACACTCGGGCGAAGGAAGAACGCAGATAGGAAATCTGGTTCTTGAACTCTTTGTTGAAATTTCTTCCCCACTCCTCCAAAGCTGCAACACACTTCTTCAAACATACATCCAAATGTTGATTRSCTTGAGACGCCTCCCAACTTCTTGCCTCAGTAATAATGTTTCCACATCTTGTGTCACTAGTCCAAGCTTCCTCAAATTTGAAAGCAGCCTTCCTCCACGGGCCTATAAACTGTTTCGAACAAAGTTAACATAATGGGCCTATGGTCAGACTTGGCCCAATCATGATGAAACACTCTTAAAGTTTTCGAGAGACAACTGAACGCCTCATTGCCTAGAAAACGATCCAATCTTTCACAGATCTGTTCCTGCTGACGTCTCCGGTTGCACCACGTAAAACTAGAGTCCTGGAAGCCCAAGTCCTGAAGACAACAATCATCGAGAGCTTCACGAAAATGGTTCATTTGAGATTGATATTTGTCGTTGCCACCCACTTTCTCCTCTGTTGGTAAAATCTCATTCAAGTCGCCTCCCACAACCCAAGCAAAATGATCCGAATTATAAAGCCGTCTGATTAGCTCCCAAGTAGCATGCCGATTATGTCTCTTCGGGCTGCCATAAATCCCCGAGAAGCAGAACTGTTTATTGTTCCAGCTGATGTTTGAGTCATTATGTCTCTCGGCGAGGCTGCATTGCAGCCTCTGCCGTTGCTTTATTTTCTTYTGTCAGTTCGTTAACTATCCGCTTCAACTTCTTTGGGCTGCTATTGTAATCCTCTCCTGCCTCTTCTCTTTTTTTCTCACTCTTTTTGCTAGAGCCCACTATGGGGGAAAATTAGGCCGGCGCCATTCTTTTCCCTTGCCTCACTGACTTCGGCCTGCTCCCTGTTGTTGCAAACGGGTTTGGAATCGCCACCAACCAACCATCCGCGATGTGTGATTCTAAAAATAAAAAAGGTCTGCGAAAGGAGTCGGTTGAGTGTAYGGAAGGTAAGGGCAAGCAAAGAATCGAACATGGGTCATAAAAATTTATCTTCAAACATCTAACCACTGTGCAATACACTGACATACAAACTTTAATTACTTTTTAATACAACAAAACGTTTAATTTATTTTTTAAAACAAAAAAAACTTTAAACCAAATCTTTTACTTTAAAAATCAAACATTTTTTACCACTTTGCCATTTGAAAATCATAGGTTAAAAAATATGTTTAGTCCCTGTACTTTTGTTAAAATAACAATTTAGTCCCTGAACTTTAGTTTGTAACGATTTAGTCCCTATACTTTCAAATTGGTAACGATGTAGTCCTTGAACTTTAATATGTAACAATTTAGTCCTTGTAATTTAAAATTGGTGACAATTAAGTCCATTTTGTGAAATTTTTTTTTGTTAAGTTTATTGTATGTATAGATTGATAAACTAAAGAGGGACCAAATATGTTTATGAATTAGAAAGATTAAATTGTTATATGATAAAATTTGACACTTGATTTTAATAAAAAATTTTACGATAGGGACTAAATTGTTACAAATTTTAAATTACAGGAACTAAATCGTTACAAGTTAAAGTTCAGGGACTAAATTGTTACTTTAGAAAACTTACAAGCACTAAATCGTTACAAATTAAAGTTTAGGGACTAAATTGTTAATTTAGTGAAAGTACAKGGACCAAATATGTTTTTTAACCAAAATGATATTATCTTAAAACAAAATTTATTTTTTTTTWAAAAAAAACACCTTTTGATTTTTTATATTTTAAAACAACGTCTTATTTTGTTTTAAAATTTTTCCTTTGCTTTTCTAAAAAGAAATAAAACATTAAGTCTTTCCTTGGAAAAAAACTTTTTCTTTAAGCTGCCTAGATTTTATTCTTACACCAAAGGAAGTCAAATAAATTTTGAAATAAACCATTTACAAAATCTTTTATTCCCTTTTAAAATAAACTTATTTGAAAACAAAACAAATTCTTTTATTTTATGATAAAACCTTTTATTTAAAACATAAAACAAAATCGTAAAACGTTTACGGGAAGAATAAAACAAAATCTTTTCCTTCTTTAACAAAAAAAAAGTTTTGTTTATTTTTTGGAATAAGATTTATCAAAATCGGAA